TTAGGGTTCAGGGTTCAGGCTGGCGTTGGGCTTGCAGGCAAGCTGGGCATAAGATCAGGTTTCGGCTTCGCGCTTCGGGCTTCTCCTTCGTATCAGAATCTTCCATCCGCCTGTCCCCCCAGCTCCGCAAGCACCTCCATCACAACTGCTAAAGCTTGAAGCGCTGATCGAAGACAAGATAGCTGCTGACCTTTCAATGCCACGCCTGAAATATTCCCTTCTCATGCGAAACCGACCCCTGCAAGTACCTGGGTGGACCGAAAAATCCTTAACCCTAAACCCCTAANNCCCTAACCCCTAAACCCTAAACATCCCTAAACCCTTAACCCCGAAAAACTCACTTTGAGACCCCGACCCGCAGGCTCAGCTGGCAGCTCGGAGACAAGGCCGACTTCTTCTCGTCCATGCCTTAACTGAGGGAAACAGAGGGAAGCTGGGAGGGCTGGGTTTAGGGTTGAGGGTTTAGGGAGGAGATAAAAGGAAGCTGGGAGGGTTGGCGTCTGCTTCCATCGCCTGGTTTTACAAGAATCTGAGTGGAAGTCATGCTCATCAATCGCCCCTCCTCTCGCTCGCCAAGAGGCGCAACACTGAACCTCTCCACCTAGCAGATAGCGCCTGACAAGCTCCTGCAGAGCCTGAGCCCGCAGAAAACCCCAACAGCCCGTACCCGCCCCCATCGAGCATCGAAGCATCGACATAACCCTAAACCCTACACCCTAAACCTAAACCATGAAGGGGACCTGCCAGTGTGTCCCCAAAGCCCAGCAGGCGTATTCCGGCTGACCCGCCAGCATCCTTCTTTCCTGCAGGGCGTTGCCACATGCGTGAAGGCGATATATACATGTCCATGCATTCTTCTACATTCCCTAACCCCCCAGGTACCTACTATGTAGGGTACTAGAGCCTCTAGGGCCCTATTTAGTAGTCTTCATCCTTCCAGGAAGTGCTCACAAACGGATACGAGCGCCAGGTCCTTGAAGGACGAACTCAGCACCTTGGCGCCAGACACCGTCGACACAAGGGCAGGCTGGGTTTAGGGTTTAGGGTTTAGGGTCTAGGGTTTAGGGTTTAGGGTGTGGGTTAGCCCATAATTACCGCAAGCCCGGTACTCCTGAACTGCGTCTGCTCGTGAGCTGTGGAAATGCCGCCGTAGTACTCATGCCTAGACAAATACAAATACGGCCAATCACTATCAGTAATCGTAATACTCCTTATTGATATCAGTGTTATTGCTGCTAATGCTTCATGTTACGCTGGGGCTCCGACCCACAGGGACGGAGACCAAGCCACGATTCGACCTTGCACCGAGGGTCAAGGCCATGGCGCACTTATCGGGTTTAGGGTTTAGGGTTTCAGATAGGGGCCTTAATAATTAGAATAGGATTTGGGGGCCCATTATACTGTACTTGTTTCTAGCCACCCCAAAACCATAGTTGATTATTATTAAGACCCCTTCCTTAGGTTTGAGGGTTCCTCAGAACGATTGGGGCTTTAAGGCTCCAGGTATCGGATGTCTGGTTCCGGGGGGAACCCTAAACCCTAAACCCAACGTCCTTAGACGCACCAGAAAATGTGCTAGCAGCTGTTCCTGAATCTGAATGACTTCAACACAAAACATGCCACTGTTTTGCAAGCACAACGACAATGCTAGATCCGTTCGTTCTGATCCGGCGACTTCTGGGCCGTTGGCGCTTTAGGGTGCCGGGTTTGTGTTATCTGTCACAACAATAAATGAGCAGTCATTTACGGTGAATACTGATAACATCTACGGCATTCCAGTAGATTCTGTAGATGAGGATCCATCAATACTAAGCATTGCTTAACATGGCAAAACCCACTTTCTAGCTGCAGTCGAGCCGCACAAAATCCTCTAAACGCCAAGCCGTAAACCCAAAGCCCTGAACCTGCAACATAATGTAGGGGCCTTAATAATTAGAATTGAGTTTTGGGCTCCTTTATCGTATCGTGATAACAAGGAACCCCCAAAATAGTATAGGTAATCATTTCGGCCCCTACATTAAGCCCTGAGTTCGGCCCCGGTGCTCCGGATCCACAAGGGGTGGAAGAGGAGCCATCGGCCTCAGGGTTACTGCTTCGAAGCTTAGCTGTTACGTATGAAGGCCTCAACCATTAGAATAGGGCTCTTTCACGTAAGCGGTACGTACTTGTGAGCGTCTATAAGCGCATGTTGATATAGGGGCCTTAGTAATTAAAAGGTTTCGGCGTATGTTCTAGTGTGATTATGCATGAGCTATTAGGGGAATGTTATCATTTACTATTCGAACAGGGTGAAGTGGTCATAGCTCTGAACTTTGATGACATAACTAGGCATATGTAGCTTGGAGCAAGAAGAAACTATAGAACGAGGGTCCGGCATGCCAGTTGACTCCAGCCTTTTTGGGGTAGGTATGTCTCTGTCCGGACTTCAAGATGTCTGCTTCGAGTTGGACATAGGAGCATCGGGAGGTGTAAGGGAGGTAACCGGACATTTTCTATGGGATCTGGCTCAAAGATGTCTTCAAGAAGGGAGTTCGTCAGTCTCTGGTGGCTCTCCGCTTCTCAGGGCAGGGAAGCGCAGTGCAGGGTTTCTCCCTGTGCAGCACTGCGCGAACTTGAGTAGAACTTTGTCGAGAGAGTTCTTGATGATTCGCAAGATTCCCTGCAACTAAGGCCCCTCAACTCGACAGCCGTGCAACCAATCCTTAACCCTAAACCTTGAATCCCTGAACCCTATGTAAGCTTTACCCTCAACCAGGACCAGAGAGCTTTCTGATCTTCGGGTGTCGCCCAGGCATCCTGAAAAGTCGTGCTGGTCGCATGGGAACCGGTGAAAAGTCGCTCCCACCCTTAAAGCCTTAGAGTTTAGGGCATGGGGGTTTTATGGGTGTAGTGTAGGGCTTTCTATCAGGGTCCGGGGGTCTTATGCTTGGTGCGATTTGATTTGAAGATTTACGGGTAACTTTGTGGCCGCCGCAGATGGAGCGGCAAAGTGCGGGAGCCGGAATTTTAGAGAGTGCCGGGGATCGAAAACTTGTGCTTCGCACCTGCATTTGCAGGACATCTGCCTGTACAGCCTTTGAAAGACAAGTCTTCCAGAAAGAGAGACGAATTGCTCGGCGAGCTCTCTGTCTTCGAAGATTAACATCACGCTCAGGGCTTTCAGGGTTTACAGTTTTTGGTGAGTTTAGTTTATGCGGTTTTGTTGACTTAGACAGGCTCGAGCATCCAGAAGTTCACAGGGCCGACACCACGTGAAAAGCAGACGTGCGGCTTCACCTCGCCCGAGCCTTGTGCAAGATCTCTCAAAAGGTTTCGGGCTTCGGATTTTTAGCATCTTGCAAGATCTCTCAGTTGTTGGGGTGAAGGTCTGCTGGAAGATTTCGCAATCAGGACCCTAAACCCTAAACCCTAAACCCTAAACCGACATTGTGTAGCTTCAGAGGCCCTAGAGTCCTAGAGCAGCAGGACCAATCCACAAACCCCCAACTGTCCCAGCAATTGGGGGTTTCTGAAAATAGGGGACCCTAATATAGTACCCTAAATAATAGGATCCTAATAATAAGAACCCCAAAGTAAGGTATCCCTAATCTTCGGAAACTCCCAATTGGCACGAGGGGCTATGTTGTGCAGCCAGCTGCTCCAAGCCAGCTGCCTGAGAAACGTCACGAATCGCGCCTTCTCTAGAAAGGAAAAATGCTCGGGAGAAGTTGGGGGCACAGCCGCCCTAAACTCTAAACCCTACACCCTAAAACCTAAACCCCAAAGCGAAGTCTAGTTTGAATCCCCACGTCCCGAGATCTCCCGAGCACAGTTCTTGCCATACCTGCACTGCTTACGCCAACTACAGGAGAGGCTATGCTCAAGTACTGCATTCGTCCGGTCACAATCCGGTCTCAATATCTCCGGAAAGCTTTCTCTAATCCTTCAGGTACCTACTATATAGGGCACTCGAGCCCCCCAGGGCCGAATATAGTAGGTACCTGGGGGGTTAGGGTTTGAGGAAGAGGCCAGATCAGAGACTTTTAGGGCTTCGGGCTTAGCCTCTGCCTTCAGCCTGGGCCTCGCAGCAGCAGAGACCTTTATCCCACAGAAGGCCCTAGACCTCACCATTCAGCCCGAAAAAACGCCTCTCTAAGCCGAAGCTTCCCCAAAATTCTCCAGAAACTTTAGCCCGTTTCGCCTGCAAGAGCGGGCCGGCCGTCAAGTGGTCCAAGGCCGCCGGCTGGACGGGCCACTGGGGATGCTCGACCTCGGGGACGGTCAAATCTGTCACCGCTCTTCTACTTCTGCCGAATATCCTTGTGCCGTCGTGATGACCGTCATCATCATCATCATCATCAACAACATCTTCATCTTCGTCATCATCATCATCATCATCACCATCACCACACTTGTCATCGCTGGCCGGGCTTCTGCCTACCACAACCGCCACTCCTGCTGACTGTCATCGTTCATCATACAAGCTTTCTTAGATGTTGCAGCAGGTATGTATGTATGTATGTATGTATGTATGTACGTATGTATGTACGTATGTATGTACGTATGTATGTGCGTATGTATGTACGTATGTATGTGCGTATGTATGGAAGATTTGTACGTACGTATGTATGTATGTATGTATGTATGCATGTACGTAGCTTCACATATTAGAGACAATCGAACTAACATCAACAAACCAAAACAACAAACACGAATTTGTAACCAAGTAAGTGCATAAACATACATGTGTGCGTGTACGATCATATACATATATGTGTGTACATATTTGTACACATTTGCTTCTTGAGCACATTAGATAGCTCCTTGTTCTGTGACAAATTTCGTATCCATATCTGGATACATATCTACATACGCAAACTGTCCCATTCCTCATGTCACCCCCCTGTTGAGCCACAGCACATCACCCCGAAGTAGCAGAGGCCCTTGGCCCAGGGGCCAAGCCGCGTAGACTGAATACCTTTCAGGGCGCTGGGTTTGTGGCGTTTGTCTAGAGATTACGATGGTTTAGGGCTTGGGGCTTTTAACATCGGCTATTTCTGTAGATTTCCGGTGACCGAGCCCGCCTCTCCACGAACCAAGTGGCCCGCTGTGAAAATTTCTCGTCTGAGGACTCGGGCAGCAGATGCCACTGGGCAGAAACCTCAACAAGGACTGCGAACTCAAAGTCGTAAAACACAACAACCGATGTCGTTTCTCACTGATACGTCCATAGCAACTCACATGTTGAACCCAGTGCAACATTTGATAGAAGCGAAGATTCCAATCTGACCTTGAAGCCCTACTTTAACGTTGAAGGCCCTCAGCAGGACTACTAGCATCGTACACTAAACCCTAAACCCTAAACGGCTTGAACCGGTAGCCTTCTTGGGGCTGAGAGTCGTATTTTGTGGGGCACGGATCAGGCCCTGCGCGCAGTGCGATATAAATGCTCCGAACCCCTCAACCTTGTGCTTGGCCAGTAATGTAGGGGCCTTATAATACTTAGAATAGGGCTTTGGGGTAGATTATGCTATAATTATAGGGGCCGTAATAAATAGAATAGGGTTTGGGGGGTATACTATGCTATAACTATAATAAGGAACCCCCAGAACCCTATTCTAATTATTAAGGCCCCTACAGTATCTGGGCTCATGAGTCTGGTGAGAAAAGGCAGCAGGGACGAGGCTAGATTGTCTAGAAGGTTGGCAAACATGTATTCCGATAAGTTTCTTTCTACTGCATTCTATACTATCATTCCCAAACCCCCAAACCCCTAAACACCCAAACCCCCAATCCCCTAAACCCCCAAACCTCGAAACCCCCTAAACCCCAAACCCCTAAACCCCTAAACACCTAAACCCCTAAACCCCCCAAACCCCTAAACCCTGAAAGGTAGACTCCGCTTCAAACCCAACCTATAGTCTCCATCGTAGTTCCTTTTTGCGGATACCTTATACACTCCTTAATATAAAAACGTGCTTGGTTAAACCAAAAAAAGGAACTACAATGGAGACTATAGCTGGAGTC